TGCATGATTATGTTTATTTTTCTGTATATATGCTATGCCTTATTAAAAGTTACCCTAAAAAGGCAACAAATGTGCCAATTAAACTTATGACATGAAATCAATTATAATACACATCCAAATTTCACTTACAAAAAAAGCAAAAAAAACCCAGAGTGATTGAAATATGTTATGACATTTGATTTATAAATCAAAATAAAGAAATTCACTTCAGGGCTGGGGTTGCGGCTCAGACGTAGAGCACTCACCTAGCATATGAGAGGCACTGGGTTTGATCCTCAGCACCACATAAAAATAAAAAAATAAAGGTAGTGGGTCCACCTATAACTAAAAACAAATAAATAAATACATAAAAAAAAAGAAAATCACTTTATAGGGCTAGGGTCACGGCTCAGTGGTAGACTGCTTGCCTAGCACGTACGAGGTGCTGGGTTAGATCCTCAGCACCACATAAAAATAAATAAATAAAGTAAAGGAATTGTGTCCAACTACAACTAAAAATTTTTTTTAAATAAAGAAAATTTACTTCATAAAATTATAACTCTAGTGGCAGCTATAAAAAAGACAAGTAGGCCAGGCATGATGGTGCACACCTGTAATCCTAGTGACTTGGGAGGCTGGAGCAGTAGGATTGCAAGTTTGAGGTCAGCCTTAACAATTCGGCAAGACCCTGTCTTAAAATAAAAAAGAAAAATGGCTGGGGATGTAGCTCAGTGGTAAAGCACCCTTGGCTTCTATTCGTAGGAAGGAGGAGGCGGGAGAGATGAAAAAGACATCAGTAAACTGGGTTAAACCATTGTCCTGATTTGGAAGACCCCCCCAAAAAAAATTAAATAAACTTGACAACACTCTATAATCATTCTTTTTTGGGTTTTTTTTTTTTTTGGGGGGGGGGGGTTGCACTTGATATTGAACCCAGGGGCACCTTACCACTGAACCAAATTCCCAGTCCTTTTTATTTTTTTATTTTGAGACAGAGCCTCACTAATTTAGGGTCTCCCTAAATTGCTGATGCTGGCCTTATACTTGGGATCCTCCTTCTTCAGCCTCCTGAATTGTTGGGATTAGAGGCATATGCCACCACACCCAGCATCTAAATTAATGTATAATATTAATGCAATAACAATTCTACTCCCTTCAGAAATATTTTTAACTATCTATCTATCTATCTACTTATGCATGCGTGCATGCTAGGGATTGAGCCTATGACCTCCTGCATACTAAGCACACATGCTTTACCACTGAGCTACACTCCTAGCTGGGAATACTTTTAGAATTTGGCAATTTGAGAAGACAAATTATTTGAATAATTGTGGCACTGGGGATTGAACTCAGGAGTGCTTTATCACTTAGTTTTGTCCCTAGTTCTTTTTATTTTTAATTTGAGACAGGGTCTCACTAACTTGCTGAAGCTAGCCTCAAACTTGTTATCCTCCTCCCCTGAATTGCTGGGATTATAGCCACGCACCACCACACTGGGTTCCAAGGAATATTTTTAAAAGGGAAAACTAATGCAAATACTTGGCCCGCCAAATTTTAAAGTGCATTGTAAACAATTATGACAAGGAAATAAATTACTCAAATATAGATTAAAAGCTGGGATATAGTTCTGCATAGTGTTTGCCTAGCATGCCCAAGGCCCTGGGTTTGATCCCCAGCATGCCTAAAACCTAAAAATAAAAATTCAAACTATCACATTAACTTAATGAATTCCAAAGCTGAGGAAACATCAGAATCGAAGAACTCACTACTTATTAACTATTGTTGAGCAGCTAACTAGATATCAGTGTGGAAAAGCATCAGCTTAAAGCCACACTTCATACTGCATCCCACAAAGAATCCCAGATCATCAGAGTTAATCAAGGAAAAAAAAAATTAGGGCCAGGTGTGGTGGTACACACCTGTAATCCCAGTGGCTCAGGAGGCTGAGGCAGGAGGATTACAAGTTCAAAGGCAGCCTCAGCAATTTAGAAAAGCCCTAAAGAACTCAGTGAGACCCTGTCTTTTTTTTGGTGGGGGGCAGGTGCTGGGGATCAAACCCAGGGCCTTGTGCATGCAAAGAACTCACTCTACCAACTGAGCTATAGCCCCAGCCTGAGACCCTGTCTTTAAATAAAATATTTTAAAAAATGGCTGGGGATGTGGCTTAGTGGTTAAGCCCTTCTGGGTTCAAACCCTGGTACCAAAAAAGAAAAAAGTGTATTCCAGTAGGTACAGGGTCTCTGGTCTTATGCCTAGGTCCTTGAACCACTTTGAGTTTTGTACATGGTGAGACAGGGGTTCAATTTCATTCTACTACATTCTACTACATTTCCAGTTTTCCCAGAACCATTTGTTGAGGAGGCTATCTTTTCTCCAATGTATGTTTATTATGCCTTTGTCTAGTTTGAGATAAATGTACTTATGTAGGTTGTCTCTGTATCTTCTATTCTGTACCATTGGTCTACATATCTGTTTTGGTTCCAATACTATTCTGTCTTTGTTACTATGACTCTGTAGTATACTTTAGGGTCTGGTATTGTGATTTTTCCTGCTTCACTTTTTTTTCAATAAGAATTGCTTTGGCTATTTTGGATCTCTTATTTTTTCAAATGAATTTCATAAATGCTTTTTCTATTTCTATGACAAATGTCATTGGAATTTTAATAGGAATTGCATTAACTCTGTATAGTGTTTTTGGTAGTATGGCCATTTTGACAATATTAATTCTGCCTATCCAAGAACAGGGAAGATCTTTCCATCTTCTAAGGTCTTCTTCAATTTCTTTCTTTAGTGTTCTGTAGTTTTCATTGTAGAGGTCTTTCACGTCTTTTGTTAGGGTTTTTTTTTTCCCCCTTCAGTACTGGCTATTGAAGGCAGGGCTTCACACATGCTACAGAGATTTTGAACAAAGGAATTCAGAGTTATGCCTTAGGCAGTTCTGGTAGAAGCTATATAGGATAGGTTGGCAAGAGATGGAGAAAATTGGAAACAAGAAAATCTGTATGGGTGCTATTTGAATAATTAAGGAAAGAGAAGATGAGTTTCAAAATCCAGCATCTACTGTAGTCGATGAAGAAAAATTAAGTTACATACAAAGACGCCAAATGGGAGAAACATGGAGCTTTACTACAATTTAAGAAATGCAAGTTAAAACTTCAAGGCATGATTTTATAAGTACATAGCTAGTTAACGTTTTTATATGAGAAATGTAAAGTTGACAAGAGATGACAGGAACCAGAAATAATTACACATTAGAGCAATTTAAGGTGTCAAGGACAATCTGGCACACACACAGACAAAAAAAAAAACCCCACAAACAAACCAACATCCTTTCAGCTAAGTGCTAATATTATTCTTGTTTTACAGGGCAAAAACAGGTTTGGAGAAGATAAGTAACCTGCCCAGCATCTGGTAAGTGGTGCAGAGAAAGCTGTTTGTACTGGCTCAAAAGAGGAGATTATTAAATTTTTAGGAATTTTTTTAGTCTTCATCAAAAATTAAATCACATAAACTTACAGTTAAATGACATTAAAAACAAAGATAATAACTACTCAAAACTCACCACTTCCTATTTTACCGCATTTTACTACCATCTAAACTCTTGAAGTTATTTATATCTATTGTAGGGTGGAAATCTCATACAATGATGTGCAATCGTGTAGCTCTTCCCAACTTCTTTTCAGTGACATCTGTCTGATACCTCAGAATCAACTATGTTGGGAATAACTTAAAACTATAGGTAAATGCTATAAATTACAGCTTAATTTATTATTTCATCTAGACTAAGGATCACCAAACTATAGGCAAAATCCATTTACCTTCATTTTATAAAGTTTTGTTAGAACACAGCCACATCCTTTTTTTTTTTTTTTGGTACATCCTGTGGCTTTTTTTTCCCATTAAAATGCTAGAATTCAAAAAGGCATCAGAGACCTTATGGCCCACAAAATCTAAAATATTTACTATTTTTTCCATTACAGGAAAATTTTACCAACACCCGGTCTTATTCACTAAGATCAGAAAAAATATCAATCAATATTCATGGCAAAACTACACTCGGAGAGCCAATTCTTGAACATTTACCAGCACCCCACTGGATAGAATTCAGATATCGTTCTAAGAGGTCAGACTATGGAATTCACGTTACTAACTACTATACTGGTAAGCAAAGTATACACTGTTAGTAAGCACAAAAATACACAAAGAGCTTATCAACAAGTCATAGATTGGGAAAAACAATTGTAATGTTCCTGTTGACATGTATTTACATAAAAAAAAACATAAGTTAAATTGTTAAACTGTAGAGAAAAAAACAAAAGACTGAAGAAGTCACTGAGTTAGTTGTTAAAAATAAAGAGGATAAAACAACCTTTTGTTTGGGAACATCTATGATCATAGCCACACATTTCTTTACAAACTATCCCATATTCTCCTCTTCCTTTTTCCATGTATGACTTTTGCACTCTTTATAATACCCAGCCCCTTTCCACATCATGGAACATGGCTTCCCACTAACCTGTTTTATCCAAACAACTTTCTTCAACATTATTTCTAACACAGATCCATGATCAAATTCAAAGATTTTTCTCACTTCTTTCTTGACGCTGTTCACATAACACTTGGGATTGTACCTTCAACCTTGAGTTCCTTCCCTGCACTTCCAAGACTCTGTACTCTGTCTTTCTTTATCATCTTTCCAGTAAGTTGTTTTGCCCGATTCCCATGTTTCCCTTTCTATCCATCCATAAATCTAAGTATTCCAGAAAAACTTTTTGTTTTTAATCAATATGGGGGTAAGTTAATTTCTAAGCCTCAATTTTCTAATGAAAAGAAAAATATTAAAGTAGTACTCCCCAGTCCAACTAACACTGATGAACTTATTTATGACACAGGTTTATTTAACAATCATGTAAAATACAAATATGTGCATATGGTGATGTGGGGCGGTTATAGTCTCATTGCCACAAAAAAAGACAAGCTCTCTGAGAATGTAAATGAATTAGATTCTAGAATATATATACCTTGGGTAAGAGGGAGACTCCAGACTGTCCTCAAAACTGTGATCTTGCTCTTCAGTCCTTTTGGTTGCCTTAGGACTTACTTCTGTCTGTAAACAAACATAGAACTGAGGTTAGTCACAGAGCCCTGCCAGAGGTGAAGGAGACTGAGAGTAGCCCCTAAAGGAAGCCATAAAGCAGCCCACAACACCCTGCAGAAGAGAAACTAGTGAATTACCGTGAGCTCCAGCCCTGGATTCTCTAGGCCATTGTCCACTGTGGACAGAGCAATGGACTGTGTTCCACTTGCTTTCTCCATCTCCTGTTCTCAACTGAAAAACAAACTCAGATCCATGGCTAAAAGATTATTTATTCTCTCAGGAGGGGCTGGTGAGAATTTCTAAGGCCAGTTACAAGGAAACACAGAACTAAAGTCCTTTAGAGAGTTAGTTGATTTCTTAAGGAATGAGAATTGGGAAGATTAGTGCAGAATTTAAAGTAAATAATGAAAGATAAAATTGTATTTCTTGTGAATAGCTAGGGAATGGGCAATAAAACAGAAGAAAAGAAATGAAGGGCAGGGGGAATTGGAATGAATCCATGAGTCACCCAGGAAACCAGGACCTGGGCTAGAAAGACCCTGGTTAGTCCCTTAAAGAAAGGGTCTTGGGTAACTGCTCCTTTTTGCCTGGGGGAGGCCCCACTGAGCTGTATGAGTAAGAAGGATATAGGGAAGAAAAGAGCTGAGAAAAGCCCAGATCCCAAATATTGCTGGGGGGAAAAATGGAGCTAAACAAGACTTCATGTTAAATCAAGGAAGCCCACATTTAGAATGATCAGCATGAATGTCAATGATCCTAATTAAATTTGAAAACAAAGTAAAAGAATCAAGAAACTTAAATATTTGAGCCTCAGCATAAGCAAGCCTAATACAAGACATTCACATTTATAATACAGGTTCATGTTGAGATGAGTCTTTGCTTTACAGAAAATTTCCTTCCTCATGGAATTGCTTTTAAAAATGTGATCTCTTCAAGCATACAAAATACAATTTCAGTAAACACATATGATCACCTTTTATTGTGTGAATGGTGGCATTCCTGTATAAGCACAGAACCACCTGAATTTTGTGATTAAATATGAACTATTAAGAAATTTGGCACATCAGGCTCCTGTTTTCCCCCAAGGCCCTTGCTTACCTTGGCTTGTAGAATTCCTTATGGCTCTTCAGTGAAGGACTAAAAGGAAAACTCAGCTAGAGTGGGGCCAGTTTCTTGCCATTGGTTGGTTTGACTTCCTGCCCTCATTCAAATGTGAGGGCCCCTCCTTCTTGAAATCTCAGGCCCTCCTTCAAGGTTTCTGCCCTCACTCCCCATAGAGTGCAAATCTGAAGTTAAATATATGTAGGGTTTTTTCTTCTTTTCTTTCTTTTTTCTTTTTCTTTTTTTCTTTTCGTGTGTGTGTGTATATATGCTAGGTGTTGAATCCAGAGATGTGCTACCAATGAGCTATATATCCAACCCATTTTATTTTATTTCATTATATTTCACTTCATTTCATTTTACTTTATTTTGAGACAGGGTCTCACTAAGTTGCCCAGGCTGGCCTCAGAAACTTGCTATCCTTCTGCCTCAGCCTCCCTAGTAGGTGGGATTACAGATCTGTACCACTGCCTCCAGCAATATTTATAGATTTTGAAGACTACTTTGCTAAAGTATCTCCTAACAGGCACATCTTCCAGCACTGGACAAAGCATTGGACAGCAGATAAAAGAAAGGTATAAAAGTCTCTGCACTCAGAAATGTACATAATTTTGTACTGGATAAACATTTCCTAGAAAATGACAGAAAGCAGGACTGCACGTGATTCAGTGCCACATGTGGCAAGGAATTCTTTTATTAATCCATTCACCAAATATTTATTAAGTACCCACTATCACACAGGCAGCTGTTTAGGGATCTGAGGACACAAAGATGAATGAGACAACGTCTCTGCCATCATGGGACATAAGAATCACTGAGAAAAGACAGATGTGTCAAGAAAGCATTTGTCTTGAGTCCAGAGCCCTGAAAGATGCTCCTGTATTTTGATCCCAGGAGTTGGAGACCAGCCTGGGCAACATAGCGAGACTGTCTCAAAAAAAAAAAAACAGTTGTAGTAGTGAATCACTGATGGAGAAGGAAGAGGAAATATACACCATGTCAGGAAGAAGCTTTGACTAAGGCACAGAAGTGAGACCTACTCTGACAAGCTAAAGTGGCTACAAGAATTTAAGAATAGAGGGAAATTATTGATAAATTAATTAAGGAAGGATAAAATAAAGGAAGAAATTAGCTTCAAAATGAAGAGGGGAAATGTGAGTGGGTCGGGATGGTTTATAAGACATAAGTCTGGAAATATAGTCAAATACCAGCTAGCTAGGGGCTCTGTTGGCCAGGCTGAAAGTATGGGCTGATTCTGAGCAGAACAGGGATGCTGGAAGAGGGTGTATTTAATGTACAGTGGGGACAGGGAGTCTAGTCAGGAGACGAAAGCAACTGTCCAGGTTGGACTGAGGCTCTCATTAAAGCAGTAGAAGAGGATGAATAAAAAGAGACAAATCTTGGAGATTGATCAGATATGGAGAAAATGAGTGAAAAAAAAAAATGGAAGATAGTTCTTCAAAACTGTCCAGAGGTCGGGGATGGAGCCCAGTGGTAGAGCACATGCCTATCATGCATGAGACAATTGGTCCAATTCCAGTACCAAAAAAGAAATAATGATAATATTTATCTTTCCCAAGTTCTGTGCATACACATGGATGAGTGCACATGAACACACACACACACACACACACACACACACACACACAATCCCTTGCAGAGTAAATATATATTACATTGTGGGACTAGGGCAACTTATATCACCTCTCAGGCCCCTTTGCCTTTCCTGCTCTACCTACTACTATCTCATAAGTTTATGATGAAAATTAAATAGTTTAAATAGAAGAAAGAACTTGGACAATTTAGAATTGTAGGGTCCTACTGTCAGATATTCAGGAAAATGAGGCAACAGTGTTGAAAGTAAGCCTACTCACAGATATCTCCAAGCTGATGTCTGACTCTCAGGAGGACTGTGAAGTGTCCCTCGCTCATCCTGTCTCACACTCTCTCCCCATACCCCTGCCCCCTTTCATTTTTATCTTCAGTAATTGTGAGTTCTGTAACTAGGTCCAGGCATAATGATAGATACAGACCCTAGTGTTCTGTGCAGGTGAAATGAAGCCAATGATCACATCTCCCTCTTCTCTGACCCTCTCTCCTCTGGAGAAGATGTAAGAACACACATCTTTATCACCTCAGTACAGGCCTCAGCACATTTTTCCAAAAGATTCTGATTCCCAACTGCCAAAAGGAAGAGAATTAACCTGGAAGGTTCTTCCTCTCAATTAACTGACTTAGACTCAATGGTTTATTTATTTACTTTTTGTCACATCACATACAAATTGATTCATTAAAAACTCAAATTACGGATCAGGAAGAACTAAGTGACTTACCAAAAATCAACAGCTAGTTTGTGGCTCACCCAATTCCATACCCTGAGACACTCATTCCCAGTTCTGGGGATGTTTCTGGACTATGAGTTTAAAAGTTAGTAAGAGATACCTCTGTTTCTGCAGGATTTCATAGTCTTTCAAAAGATTTTCCTATATGTTCACTATTCATCCATTCATCCTCACAATATTTCTGTAAGACAAGAAATTAACTGCTAATTCTATTTTAGGTTAAAAAAAAGGAGGAGGAGGAGGAAGAGGAGGAGGAGGAGGAGGAGGAGGAGGAGGAGGAGAAGAAGAAGAAGAAGAACCAATTTGCTTAAAGAAGATGAGCAATTTGTCTAAAGTCACAGTTACTCAGGGCAAAGCCAGGACGAAAGGACTACTCTGGTCATTTCCATGGAAGCTAGACCTTATAATTGTGTAAAGTCTAGAGGTTACTCTTGGAAAACTAGGTGACCTGCCACAAACTCATCTGGAAAATAAATAGCCATAAATAATTGATTGTTCTATACTTCCTGCTTTTACCTGTCCTTTGATTGCTCATAGAAGCAGGCAGAACTAGGGAGAATGTAGGGACTTCTAATTTTGGCCTTAATAGAATAGCTGAAAACAACTAAAAATGTTAGATAAAATGTCAGCATCGTGGCATTGAAGAGCAAGCAGTGGAGGTGGGACCTAAGGGCTGTGATCCTGGAGAAAGGGAAACACCAGAGTTGTTCTCATTTATCTCCCTCCCTCCCTCCCTCTCTTTCTTTCTTTCTTCTTTCTCCTTTGGTACTGGGGAATGAACTTCACTGAAGATGAAATGGATAGCCACTGGAGTTCCATATCTATTTAAACATTGGAATCTATACTTAAAAACCTACAACATCTGAAATTTGAACATTTCAGATGTCCAAATCCTACTAAATAGGTAAAGAAGAAATGATACCAATTTTCATAAACTCTTCCAAAATTCAGAAAAGAATAACACCACCAATGCCTCACTAAGAAAGCCGGCATTACCCCAATACAGAAACCAAATAATAACATATAAGAAAAGAAAGCTACAGACCAACATCCCACAAGAACATAAATGAAAAAATTGTCAACAAAATTACTAGCAAATCAAACCCCGCAATACATAAAAATATATCATAATCAAGATGTATCCCAGAAACTAAAGGCTGTTCAATATTTGAAAGTCAATGCAGTTTACCTCATCAACAGACTTAAAAGGAAAAGTCATATTATTACATATACAGAAAAATACTTTTTAAAGTCCTACATTTGTTTACAATAAAAACTTTTAGCCAACTAGGAAAAAAAGGAAACTTATAGCTACTTGGAAGGCTGAGGTAGGAGAATCACAAGTTCAAGGCCAGCCCATGGTTGAGTGCCCCTGAGTTCAATCCCTGGTACAAAAAAAAAAAATGGGGTACCATTACATATCCATTCAAAAAATGGCTAGAGCTAGAAGAAAGGAGAGAGGAAGGAGAGAAGGAAATAACCAGTTGCTGGTGTGTTTCCAAGGCAATTAGAATTGCATTTGCTGCTGGTGGGAATGGTTTCCTCAAGAGTGTACAAAAACAAAACAACAAAAAATCAAATATATTTGTACCCAAAATGAAGTTTAAGGAAATGTACTTTAAAATTTTTAACTAGTGCATCTTCAATTTTTTTTTCAGTTTTCCCCACTTAACTTCTCTTTCTGGGACTCAAATTACACGTACACTGGATCACTCAATGATAAGATCTTTAACAATGTTCTCTTTTTTTGTGCTGTTTTTTCTTTATGTTCCATA